TTAGCCCTCCTTCTTGTTCCGATGAGATAAAAACAATAAAACAACCTTTCAACAAACAGAAGGATTTATTTACTAAGAAAAATAACCGCTTTTAATGCTTTCTTCTAATTCGTCTTAAACTAAAGAAGATAAACCTATCAGTTAAACCCGCATCCCCTCTCTCAAGAAATACTTCCGAATCATTGCGCTTTGTTCTAGGTGTACTTTTCCCTTTATTTTCAAATCCGTAATGCGCATTTGAACCTTTTTGGAAATTGCGCAAAAACCTCTATGAATGAAATAATAATTTTTTTTTTATCATCATCATGATTGTAATTATTATTATAATTTTTATCGTTATTATTGTCTACCATGTAAAACTTATGAATGCGTAGAAAATTAGCAAAGAGCGAACTTATTCGTTTGCGCGTAATTCACTCTTCGCGCTCGCTTGCGCTCACCTCGCGCTTTCTTTGCGCTCGCCTCGCGTTTGCGCGCGCGAATTTGAAGAACGCGAACAAAAATTAAGCCTTCTTTGCAAACGAGATATGAACAAAATTCATGGCGATAACCCGCTCTCATTGTCCCAGTGAGGGAATTTAAGCTTTGAAGTTATCGCTCTAGGGTTACCTTATCATACGAATTAGGACCAGGAGCCCATTAATGGGCTCCTGTCAGGTCCTAATGATGTAAAGATGATTACCAACAAAATCCTTCTAATGCAGATCTATTTCCTCTCTTTAGCAATACTGGTGCCATTTGGAAACGAAACAACTAAAAAAAACCTCGGTGTTATTCATGCAGCTTGCCACAGTACATCATTTCCGAGTTCCAATGGCCCAGGTCCATGCTCCTCCCTCCCTGACCGCCCTAGTCATTAGTTGTGGTGGAAAGGGATCAATGTCAGTCTCTGTGTAACTGCACACCCACCCCTCCCCTAACCCAACAACAGGCAACTGATAACAAGTTAGGGTTAACGTTGGGTCAGGGGAGGGGTAGGTGCGCAATTGCTCAGATAACGATATCGATCCTTCTCTAAATCTGAAGCGGTGGGGGATGGGGTTGGGGAGCATGAGAAAGAGCGCGTGCTTAGCCTCACAGGACACAGGCTGTGAAGTAATCAGAAGAATACACTCGACGGAAACTGATAAACAACCGGGTGGAACAGGGATTGAATTTTTGACGAGCTAACGTGTAATTCGGCAGGGGGCAGGGGAGGTGGGGTGGAGATTTTCGTGTCATTTCACATGAAATCAAAGCTCCATAAGTACATTATGCCAGTGCGATAACGGGCTTACATGTGGAGGTCATCTTAAAGCTTTCCGGTCAGTACGGAAGCCAAGAAGCTTAAATATAGCCGATTATAGGAGAAAAAAATGGGATAATCCAAACTATATAGTTAAGACGCGATAAGAGTAGCGGTCGATCTTTCCAGCAATATTCAGGTTATTGGATGATTTTGGTTTTCTACAGCTTTTACTCTGGATAAATTCGAATTTGTAAAAATTTTCACAATTTTCCCAAAAAATTTGATGAAAGTAGGTGTAGCAACTAGAATTTAGATAAACATCTTACTGTTGAAAATGACGTCTAAAAATTTTCTATCTTGCGTGAGGGTACACAAGGATAACGAAACCGTGGTAGGAGGGTCCTCAATAGGGTTCTTCAATCCCGCAATCCCGACTACAATTTTCTCTCAATCCCGTAATCCCGACGTTTTATACCGGCCAATCCCGATCCCGATCATACAATTTTGTCCTAGTCTATTTCCTAAACTTAAGAGGGCCTTTTCGGTGGGTGATGATTTTCTCAACCAGCATTAATCCGTTGAAGTCTATGGTCACCGTAAGGCGTAAGTTTATCTCTTTCCATCAGAATGATGATATCGTTAATTTTAGAAGTTTTCAAAGTTTTGCACGAATAACATACGGTAGTCAAGGTTACGACTTCCTTTCATTAATCTTCGATCAAGGACGAACGTATTGGTGCAGGCAAAGAAAAAAAATAGCAATTTTAACAAGTGCATAAAACACAAAAGGTGACGGCAATTCCATAGTTCCATAACAAGAGAGATAAAGAAAAATTAACTGAACATAATTCTGCTTTTGAAGCGAACACTTCCTCCAAAGCGGGAACCTCTTCCGAGGAGAAGAATCAGCCACTTGCTCCAAAGATGGAATGTCATCATCATCACACGGGGAATAGTACTCTAATATTCCATCTTCCTCTTCGTCTTGTTTCGTTTTTTCTTGCTGCTTCCCGAAGTCAGAGTGTTCGAGGATGACCGGTTCGACCAGCTGTATCTCTTTCTGTTTGAGGTACGACGGGGAAGTTCCAGCTCTTGCCATAGTTGTTTCCTGCTTGTCAGAGCGCTGACGCACTGCTGCAACATATGTTTACGCCCAGACCCTCATCTTCTGTAAGCTCCGTTTTGCCATCGGCACAGGTGGTAACGATTGAATTGTTGGTATGGCCGCCAGGATCATGGCACGTTAAGGTACAGGATACCAAGAGTTTGGATTTGTAAAATAGTACGCCACCCAATGAGTTGTCCTCGTTAAGCCTTCTTTAGCTGTATTTCCAAAGTTTCATGGGTAATCCAAGACCTTGAAAAGTTTATCTTTGCGATGCACAACCAAGTGAACTAATATTCTTCAAATCTACTGTCATGCAACTCAACAGGTTGAGAGCATCATATCGGTATAATTCTGACACTTGCTGGAAGTTTTTCAAGGCCTTTAAAAGCATTTTGAGTGACGCAGCAGTCTTAGATGCCACGTTACCCTATGGGCCATTGAAGATTTTTGGTAAATTGGCAACTTTGCTTCTGATATAATTTTCGTTCCCACGCAAAAACTGGAGAGTGTCGCAGAGCAGTCCGACCGCCTCTTGCCAAGAATGCTGCGCACCTGGTGCTTTTCATGGACTGAGAAGATCAATTTCTTCATAAGTTCTCGTCAACGGACATCCCGGTTCTCGGTTCGTTTAAGTGATTATTTCCTGAATCCCGCTCCACAAAATCGCCGATTCCCGTGTCCCGTTCATAATAAAAGTTTAAATTCCCGGATCCCGGCCTTTAATTAAATAAGCCCAATCCCGGATCCCGAAAAACCTGTTGGAGACCCTCTGGTAGATACTTGTTCTCTCCTCAGAATACTTTGCCTATTTCGCCAATTCTTGTCATGTAGTTTCTTTCGACTAAGTAGTGTTTGGTTTTCATCATCTACGTTAGTTTTTGTCAGCATCCGGGTTACTTCTCCTCTAAGACTGACATGGATACGCCACAGATGGAAGTTTGTTTTTATTTCATTTAGTCTTTGGTTATATTTTGTAGTTAAATATTTGTATTTATTTCCTTTCAGGTGAATCGAAACTTATTATATAATTATTTGGTTAAAAAATGAAATGTCTGTGCATTCGATAACGTGGCGTAGAAATTGTAGCATTTACCTACGATAGGAAAACACTAAAAAATCCAAACGATATCTCCCAGCCTATTTTCAATGGGCTTTTTGATCTTGAGAAGACTTTCGAGTTATCTGTTTTCATCTGCAAAGTGGATTGCAAATACAGTTAACTCAGGAGAAGAAGGAAGATTTAGGGAGGTGCGAAGCAAGTTCCTCTAAAGAGCCGTAAAAGGATCCAACTACCCTGACACATAATAAATACTCTGCACCCGGGACACCACAGCGAGGTTTACCCCAAGTATCGGCACAACGCCAAAATGAAATAAAATCTCTGATAAGAAAGACGGGGATAATTATTTTCCGACGTTTTTTTCTCAGCTGAGACAAAAAGTATACAAGATCTCTGAAAAGTACCTTACAGCAAAATGCCTGATCCGTTTCGGCACCACCATAAGAATCTTCGATCATGGCAGCTTCCCTATGCCACAAGGAATCTCCAGGCACTGATGACGTCAGGAGTAATTCGGTGTAATGACATCTGCTGATAAATGCGTTTCTTTGATTGGTTGATCAAGGCCCGAAAAACGTCTCCACAAAGACACACGAAGTACAGCAATTGTTTGGTTAAAACTTAGTGATGGCAAAGACAGACACGGTAAACATTGAACTGAATTCTCATACAATACGCTTCATTCTCAGACAGGCTCTAATGAAAATTTCAAGAGCATTAACTGCATAACCCTTAACCTGCTAATAACACACCCTAAGTACTTTTAATTAAGTTTCCTCCGGAATCCATCAACGGGAGCCTCTTTCTCTACTGATTCCTTGACGTAACCCTTTTCCGAGTAGATTTATTTCAGAACGGCTTTTTCCCACTAAAGTATCAAATTTCCGTTAAGTCAACTACGATCAAAAACTTATTTCGCTGCACAATGCATGTAAGTGGATGTTTGACGTAAAGATATAGAGTTATCGTAACTCTGTTTTGATTGGGTATTAGAACTCGAAAATTCCCCTGGGAGCTTTTCTATTAATAAATCAGACCAATGTCAGTATATGAACAACTGCGCACCTACCCCTCCCCTAACCCAAAAACAGTCAACTAATAGAAATTTAGGGTTAATGTTGGGTCAGGGGATGTAAACTAAAACCAAAGTAATTAAATCGACTAATCAGAACGACGGAAAATATCGCAAGCAGTCAATGAGGACTTAAAGAAAAAACAAGCAATTGCTCGAAGCGCGGGAAAACGTGAATGACCACAACGCGATTAGCCT